TCCGGTAATCGCAATATCATTGTTATCGTTGTCATTTGCATGGTCTTCTAATACTTTTGGGTGGTTCTTGAAATGTGTTCAGTAATTCTTTCCTCAGTGTTATCATATTCAATAATGATTTCTTTCTGTTCAATAACAAGCTAATCATGTCCAATAATCGTTTTCCTATGTTCATTAAAGTAATCTCCAAAGATGTGGGGCGGGGGTGGGGGTGGGGGGGCATGGTAGTCATACATTAGCCACCGTCGCTAAAATAATCATCTTCATATGCTCATTAACTGTTTTTGTTTTTTCTCTCCATGTTTGATAATGGTTTCCTCATGTTTAATAGTTGCTTCTGCTTGTTCAATAATCGTTTATTCATGTTTGAGAATAGTTACCTCCGGCCACATACAGATTTCATCACGTAAGCCATATACAAATATCACCATTTACAGTCAAGTGATAATTTTAAACTTCTCGCAATTTAATTTCAAACTCTATTTTCTTCATGGTTCAGTGTGTGAATCACAATGAGGCATGAAGCCTCATTTGGCTAGAAAAGTATGTATTGTTTTACTGCTTGCGTACCCGTGAGGGTCGCAGAGTGTCCATTTTAGGGAAACAGAATAGAAGCCCACTGCTCTGTAACAAGCATACAGTAAACAGATGACTAAAGAAGAATTTGCTGACATCAGATTTGTTCGGCAGAATGGCGCAGATATCACAGCTTAGCTGTAGGCCACAACACTACGTGTCAAGTGCGAAATCAGACTGCTTACTCAGTACCAGATAAAGTAAAAAGTAAACGTCCCTTTTCCACGCTTTTGGGCGTTTAGGGCATATAGGGCTAGACCTATTTGTTTATAGACCAATCGTTACAAGAAACGGGATGTGGTCAGCATCACACAGGCCGCCTTTACTTCCCGGGACTGCATCCCGTACTCACTCAAGGCTGGGTCGACCTGGGAGTCAAGATCATTTTTGAAAAAAGTTTTCCTCCGCCAGGGAGAGGACCCACTACCTTACGATCCGCACGCGAGCGTCTAGCCGCTACGCCACGGCACTTCCCAGTACCAGATACAGTAAACAATTTAGGCTGAAGCTTTAGTACTCAGGTGGCTGTCCCAGATATGTGACTGGTGACCAAAATAGGTGGAACAGAGGAAATCTGCATAACACATTTGTAACGATTCTGTTGCCTTGAATAAAAAGCTTCAACAAGAACCAATTAATTGAAATCCACTGTATGTACCTGTGGGTGTGTGCACTGAAACAAGCACACATACACACACGCACGGCATATACAGTTATACACAAACATATAGTCACAAATTATGACGACATTGTAAACATGTTATTTTATAGCCGGTTTGTATGAGAGAAGGAATCTCTGAGGAATGCATTAAAACTAACACTAATACAATTGGGATGCAGCTGTTTTCATAAATCGTCCTACTCATAACTTTGTTTTTTTTAGAAGAAACAAAAATTGCCTGCTTTCACCATAAAATGTATAAGACATGTTTTGTATTCCTGTTATTTACCATTCTCTATATATGCCTCAACTATTTCAATCTATTGGCAGTCATGATACCAGGAATTGGTGGTGATTTAAACAAATTATGTATTTCATTGTTTGCTTGTGATCTAATAATACTAAAATGTAAACGACTGTATACAAGTGCGTTGTCTGCGAAAAGTTTTGTAAATGTACAGTTGGTTGTATTGTTAAATTTCTACACAAGAAATGCGCCATTTCTATGTTACTCCAAGAACACCGAGTTGCACTAATGATGAAAAGTAAAGTGACGAACACATAATATGTGTAATTTCTGAAATCATCTAGAATCAGTTTGTTCAAGAGCCATAACACTGTGAGTAATGTTGAAACACCGTAGTGTACTATGGAAACGCAAAGACGCATTTAGAGAATTAATTATGTAAAACACAAAACTAACAAACATATCAGAGACAAAATATACACATTTGCAGGACACCAGGAGCCTCTCTTGGCAGTGGTGAAACATAGACGATTGAAAAGACTGTGCTTCAAGGAATATTAGGGGGTAAACGAAGAAGGGGAGGACAAAGAAGAACCTGGAATGGCAACATCAAGAAATGGACAGGACTAAATTGTCACACACTTATTCATCAAGCTGAAGACAGAAGAAGATGGCGGGTTTTATAATACTACTGCTTTCATCGATACACCTCCGCGACCCTAACGGGTCAAAGGTTATGTTTTGTAATGTGGAAAAACTGAAGAATTTCATTCCTCTAATGCTGCGATTTCATACCAATGCTCTACGCAGCCCTATAGGCTCCATGTGTCAGCCCTTCTCAGTGGCCCTGCAGCCACTCCAGGAAAATAAATAAAAGTCGGTAGCAATCATCAGAACAAGCTTATACTAGCTCCACAATGATTGCAAGACTCAGCAGGTCTGGGCTCCACTAGCGATGGTCTTAAATGATGAAAATTGGGTTTATTTATTTGACTTTTTAAGAGCTTCATCGTATGATAAAGTGTGATGAGGTCACTAACTATGGTGTGAAATGATGGTAGTTGAGAATAAACAGACTAATATGGTTTGATTTAACGTTTAAAACAATTATGTTATTACATGGTCATTGCACAACTGTTTAAATATCTCTTTTCTTCAAACCCCCTTACTATCTACTAGGGCTTTTCACTATTCGGCCGAATACGAATAGTGGGACCAACTATTCGGCCGAATACGAATAGTGTATAGTGTAAAAAATATATCCAAAAAAAAAAAAAAAACATTCATAATGTCAAATGTACGCTGAACTTTTACTTCACATAAAGTAGCACAGAATAGTCATCTTATCTTTAGCATTCTGAGCCCTTGAGGTTTACTGCTGCAGATATCACTCGTCTCCACTCATCTCTCGGGCTGGCCTTATCTTTACAATCTGCATCCTTTGGTGAGTCTGTGGTAACTAATAACTAGGATTGAAAGAATCCTAAGTATTATACCAAGTAACTAAACTTGGAAATTGTCACTGACAGCTTAGTTAATGCAGGAAAGCTGCATTAGCTTTCAACAAAATCAATCGTTCCATGTTGTCAGCATTAAGCCCGTGTATGCAGAAGCGGGTGTGAGGTAACTACTATTCGTATTCGGCCTGACCGCAACTATTCGGCCGAATACCGAATAGTGAATGAGTCAACTATTCGGCCCCGAAGCGAATACGAAGCGAATATTCGGTACAGCCCTACTATCTACCCTCTCTTCCTACTTTCTTCTTCTTTTGTCAAAATCTGCTTGTGCCGCTAGGCGTCGCAGTCTATCAGATGATCGGCAACCGAGCCAGGGCGCGCTCAGTCGCTTCATATGCCGTGATGTTATGAAGTCTCAAGTTGTCCGTGACTCCTTCAATCCATCTTCTTCTTGGTCTTCCCCTGCCTCTTGGTGTTTCGATTTTCATGTTGTATGCTCTTGATGCTGGCATCGTTGGTTCCATTCTCATTAGGTGACCAAACCATTTCATTCTTTGCTTCTCAATAAATTTAACGATGGGTATGGTTCCAATAGTTCTTGTAATCACATCGTTTCTCACTCGATCTCTTCTGGTTTTATTCGCAGCCATTCTCAAACATCTCATTTCACAGGTGGTTAGTCTTCTCTCGTGTTCTTTTGTTAATGTCCAAGTCTGACATTGATAACCTAATTACATCCAAACACTCTTAACTTTTAAGACATACGATACGGTAGGCATGGTGAGCTCTAACAAAGAAACTGATTTTAAAAATAGATACGCAAGACAAAATAGTTTGGAGTCAATAGAAATTAACCAATTTTTCAGTTGAGAAAATGAGAATAGCTTGACAGCTGATCCCTACATAGACAATTACATGCCGTATTTAAATTCAGCTTCTCTCAAACCAAACTAAAGCTTTATAATCACCATCTATTGTATTGAGGATATGACACAATTAATATTCAATTCAAACGTCTCTCTTACTCTCATTATCTCTCTTTTCTCTGTCTGTCTGTCTGTCTGTCTGTCTGTCTGTCTGTCTGTCTGTCTGTCTGTCTGTCTGTCTGTCTGTCTGCCTGCCTGCCTGCCTGCCTGCCTGCCTGCCTGCCTGCCTGCCTGTCTGTCTGTCTGCCTGTCTGTCTGTCTGTCTGTCTGTCTGTCTGTCTGTCTGTCTGTCTGTCTGTCTGTCTGTCTGTCTCTGAATGCCCACAAGAACTCTTTTTGAAACATCGTCTATCTTTCTCTCTCTTCTGTCACACAAGCACGCACAAACACATACATGTATGTATATTTAAAAAAAATTAATCAAAACATAAGTGACTTGGCCTGCCTCGTCCTGGCAACTGGAACGATCCTTTGGGACTGTGCACTTTCACCGAGCCGTTTCTCATACAGTACGCCAACATTATAAACTTTTAATTAGCAGATTTCCAAGAATACGGATTACACACCGTGAACAAAATGTCATACATTACTCTTTCGCTGATGTCATTCTGACTAGTCTGATGGCAGAGACAATTTGTTAAAGTAACAAGACCATTTGGTTTACGAAATCTCTTAACATGAAGTAGCTAACAATTCCCAGTCTAGTTTTATAAATTATACAAAACTAACTGACCACTTCTGTTTGGCACCTAGTTTCATGTGAAATTGTGGTTTTCTTTTAGCCAACACCGTTGTCTGTTCTTTGCAGAAAAAAGCTTGCAAAATCTATAGGTAATACATACTCCTTTCCTACATCCTTGTAGTCATATTTCAACTAGATCAGAAATAGAATTATTATCCAAATATTAAACACTTCGCACTGAAGTAAATACACATCGCTGACGCTTATCGCGCAGTGCAAAAACAAAATACACGTCAACTTTGGCTCACTTTTCGTCATTGTTCATAGCTGCAGAAAAATGTCACTGCATGGTAGCCCTAGCGGCCGCGTCATCTGCGGAAAATTCCAGAGAAAAGAGCACTCACTATGTTGCGTCTGCTCTAATGGTCTTATGATTGATAAGTTTCGATCACGTGATGACGCTTTGTATAATTAAGTGAGCTAATAAAACTACACAGAAAATCAGAGGGTTCTGACCGAAGAAATAAAAGCAGATGGCGGAATTTCCGTAGTTTTGTCCGTTCCCCGTCTGTGTATGAGATATTCCCGTGCCTGAGAATGAAAAATATAACGTACATGTGTTACTGTTAGAAAAATAAACAAACAAAATAAGATCAACTGTCTAATAGTATTTGGGTAGTCACTGATATGTAAAGCAAGTAAGCGTCTCGTTTCTATGACCACAAGCGTATTGGTTACATGTAGCTAGTTCTACATCTGTGAGACCAATCGACGCTCCATTTGCTATGTATTCAATAGCACGCAGATTGCCTTTATTTTTAGAGCATTCCCTAGAGGCTACGGCAATTTGAATAATTTGTATGAAGTGGGGATTCGAAAATATGGTCACCTATAACAAAGCGATTTTATTTATACAATACATAAGTAATGTAATTCACGGAGAAAAAACCCCCAGAAATCTATTGATTTATTCTGAAGCGACTAAAAAAAAAATCGCTGAAGAAAATAAAGATAAAAAAACAACACACAAGTGAAATATTTTTGCTATATTACCCTTTCAAACAAACCATACTTAGTCGACGATAGATTATCATCATTGCCCATCAAACCATTTAGTCTATAAGTGCGTAGATTCCCTCCTCCTCAGTAAATCCAACAGTGTGTAGCGACTGACAACACCAGTTCTGTTTTGGTTTTTTATTTTTCTTTGGCTTCCTGCATAGTACTCTTGTCTGGCCACATGATGTTCTTACAGTCTGGTCATGGTTGCAGATTCAGTCATCACTTGGATTCTCGCAAACGTCTAATTTCTCGTAGAGCATCCAATATATCAGCATAGCCCATGGGGCAGCCGCTCGCTGGCACGAATAAGAAACATGCTTCACATTGACTGCATCAGAGACGCCAGCTATGTCTTCAGATCTTCCTGATTATATTCATTGAATCACAGAGAAAGTATGCGCGAGCAAAGGTTTGCGTCTCTAGCTATGTTATTACTTTGGCCACTGTCATGACATCCAAATATAGTTGCAGACGGCGGTGCTTGTACCCACAGTACCAAAGAGACCGTACCGAAGAGATAAAAGGCAAGCGCGCAAAGGCAGGCAACGATACAAGTAGAAAGAAAACTTTAAAAGATGGACAAATAGCAGTTTCAGAAAATGTACACCAGGGCGAATGACACAGCAAGTATGAAATCCATTGCAGCCAACTTTCATTGTTGAAACAGCACATAACTGACTGACTGAACGGATACAAAAGTTGCACTACAAATCCAGAATTCTTCAAAAATTTCTCGAACCAGTAATAGTCTGTTTCTTTTTATTTTATAAGATGATAGTATTAAATTAAAATGATAGTTTCACATATGATACTTGCTTCAGGCATACAGTGTTACTTACCTCTTTTTACATTCGAGCTGTCAGCTGTAAAGAAACAGATGGTAAGAAGTTATTATATGTGTATACTTCTATGCAATATTTTTTGGCCAGACTTATTAATATTTACTAGAGCATCCTCGTTTTTTTTTTCTTCTAAAAATTCAACCCGCCCTCCGTATTTTTTGTTAAATGACAAAAGTAATCTTGTATTAGATACAGAGGGTATGAAGTATTAGGACTTCACATAGTCTAAGCCACGACGTATTAAGGTGGGAGAAAATCTGCTTATTTATTGGCTTTCCATTTCCAACATTTCTCAGGAAATTCTGAAAAATTGCCGGAAACCCCTTTTATAAGGCTTGGTTAACTCCAGAGCCGTCGCGGGAAAATCATGCTGCCTTTCCTATGGATTTAACTCCGACCATTGTCTTGACCGGCAAAAGCATTAGGCATTATGATACAGGAGTCACCGTGGCCTAGCGGCTAGACGCTCGCTGAGGATCGGAAGGTCGTGAGTTCGCTCCCTGGCGGAGCCGGACTTCTTTCAAAAATGTCCTTGGCTCCCAGGTAGACCCAGCCTTGAGTGGGTACCATGTGCAGCCACGGGAAGTAAATGCGGCCGGCGTGATGCTGACCACATCACATATTTTGTGCTGATTGGTCTATAAAATGTAGGTCTAGTCCTATTTGCCCTATATGCCTAATGGCGTGGAAAAGGTTCCTTTTACTCTTTTTTAAAAATTATGATACAGCCGGGTCCAATTCCCCCTGGTTCATAAATAAATTGTACTTTGTTCGTCTTTTCCCAAAGCACAAAACGAACGGACTCTAAAGTTAATGCCCAGGCAATGAAATGAATGATCTACTGGGAATGTTTATAAGAAGAGATTTGCAAGTCCGGGGACAAGATACCATAGCTCCTCATTTAGACCTGTACACACACACACACACACACACACACACACACACACACACACACACACATATATATATATATATATATATATATATATATATATATATATATATATATATATATATATATATTTATTTATTTATATATATACAAGAAGAGAGATATTTCGTCTCGTGACGCAAATCATAATAAGATGACAACATTGACAGAATAATACAAGATTTTGACCTTCATATAATGAAACTGGGTGGCATTTAAATTTATTGTCGTCTTATCTCCACATGAAATGCCCACAACATTATGACAACTATTTGATAAACATTGAACTAGAGTGTGTAAGATCCAAGAGCCACTGTTGTCGAACAGGACAACAAATGGCATTACTGCTTAGTACTGAACCAAGATAAGCGAGTGCACTTGTTTTTGAACATTTCAGGGTTGGGGAAAGGGGGGGGGTGTGGGGGATATTTCACAATAGAGCAACCCTAATCTGGCGTTGGAATAGAGCTGGAATAAATGTTGTATCACAGACATAAGTAGATTATCGTTTGATTTAGACCATTCTTCCTGTCAGCAGTATCAAGTGAAGAGAACTATCAGCATCGTGCAGAAAACAGAGTAATGACAACAGAATATCCTTTCCTGTAGATTTGTTATTCATTGTGAAAACTGGACATTGCTATAGAAAATATCACTTGATAAAGGAAGTAATCAAAGATAACAACTATTCACACAGGAGAGAGAGAGAGAGAGAGAGAGAGAGAGAGAGAGAGAGAGAGAGAGAGAGAGAGAGAGAGAGAGAGAAGGGGAGAAGGGAAGAGAGAGATAATATTATTGGCGTATAAGGAAAAGAAACTGATGAAGAAGAGAAAAACAGGACGAACATAATAATAATAAAACTAGCAGACAACCGTATGTGTCACTTACCAACAAGAACATTGACTTCGACGCTAGCGATCAAGTCTGACGAACTCCGGCAGATGTACGTGCCAGAATCGTTACCAGTGCCACTGATGATCATTAATTCGCTCACCAAGGTCATGGTGTCTTTGAACCTACGAAACCACACAGTGATATTTTATCTTATTGAGTCATGCCTTTTTATGTTTTCACTTCTTCAGGCATACTGTGTATGTGGCGCTAGTTCAATACTGTTTATAGACGAACTGGTACTCGATGGATAACGTAGTCAACATTACGCTCAACGCCTTTATTTCCTAGAACTTTTACCGGCACTAACTTTTAGACTGAGTTACAGGGGCGTGAACATGGAAAGTTTCAACAGCTGGGCAATAAATAATAATATAAGAAACAACAATTTTTTTAAAATTATCATCTTTTCTTACGCCTTAGCCCTCAAAAGGGAGGCGGGCACGCAGTAAACCCCAACGGAAAGACCTGATTGTTCGTCCATTTCTAGACTTTGGCTTTGTTCTAGAACCTGAGTTTTGCGTGTGGATTTTACAGATCTTGCTTATTTGTATGCAGACTGCTGGTTCTTTGCCTCCCCCGCAGATGCACTCCGACTTTGAAGGAAGCTCCAACTAGTCGACTCTTACGACATGCTGTTTGGGGGAGGCAGTGGGTCCACCTTAGTTTTCCCCGCAACCGGACCCGGGAACCCACACAGGCAGCAATGTTAAAATGATTTTTAGACTTCGGCTGTTTTCTCACTCTCCACCTCCATGAACAGCTTATAGAAAAGCTTCTGAAACTGAACGAGCCAATTATATCTTTCAGGCTTTCCTTGAGAAGGATGTTTGTTGCACTTTGTCCATTTGCAGGTATGATGCACTGAACCCCGGAAGTCGTGGGGAGTCTGTCGAGTGTGCAGGTGTTTACAATCATTAGATTTAAAATTCATAAAAATGGTAGGCATATTAGTGCTCACTGTCTAAAACAGGGTGCGCAAAGAAGTGCTCACTGTCTAAAAAAAAAGGGTGCGCAAACAAGTGTTCTCTGCCGAGGAAATTTACATACCACATGAGGTTTCTAGAGAATTCAAGCAGCCGGAACGTATTTAATGGATAAACTATGAATTCTTTTTCAGAATGTACCCAGTGGCCGACTAGCACAGCACACGTGGTTAAATAAAATTATTTGGCTAATCTGCCAAGTGCCATTGCGGAGAAGAAAGAGGAAACTTTGAACTACGGTATCGGGGTAAATAATTCTTTTATCCCAAGGAGATAATAATTATCTTTATCTAAACACTCCTCCTAATCTAATAAACACAGGGTGTAAAGCAGTCTGACTGACAACGCTACTGAACACAAGAAATTGAAGTAATAACTGCGGTAGGGTGGCTACTTGCAAAACTGTATGAGGCGCAGGGAATAAGGGAAAGTATGTTTCTTAAGTAGTTGCCAGTAAACTCGTCAAAGAGATATAAGTATAGATCGGCGAGAAAGTTGAAAACACAATGGGCACATAACTCGGCAACAGGAGACAGACTATACATTTTATGATCATATCAAGAGAAGGGAGACAATTATTTATGACAGAGGGACAGTTTGAGAGGAAGAGAGATAAAGGAAGACACAGAGAGAAGAATAAAAATATAATGGCATCAATTATGTGTAAAAATAATTAAAAGTGCAGGAGACAGAAGGCTGTGGACAGTCACTGACTACGCAGGCATCACGACATGGACTATAAGAATAAGAAGACAGCTCCATAGCTGCATCAGTTTGTGCTTGTTGTTTTATTGTTGTATCAATCCTTAACGGGCCTCAGCTTGAACAATGGGAAGACAGATGTAACGGTAATACAAAAACGAATATTGCTAAATGTATAGTCGAAGTTGTGGAAAGCAACGGGAAACTACCACATTACTATCCTAAGAAACTCATCATGGAAGGCAAAAATGAAACGAAGATGGGCACAGGATATACGTGACTTATTGAGTGTGAAAGTGCATGAGGCGGGAGAACTGGCGAGAGACCGAGTTTCTTTCAGGCAGACTGTGATGAGAGCGACGTTCTGCATAGGACCTGCTACATGATGATGATAGTCGAAGTCAAAAGCATTACTTTAGGACAAGTACAGAAACGTAGGTATTTAGGCGTTTGGATAAACCCTACAGAAGATGAATCACCGAGATCAAGAACAGAATATGACAGGTAAAAACTGTATTTGATAAAATTAAGAACATTTCACAATACATTAATTTCACTGGAGGTTAGAAAAATAATTTTCGCATGCTATGTAGAGAGAGTTAGAAAAATGATTCTTGCTTGCTCCAAACATCCAGTTTTAACATATGGCTGTGAATCCCGGACAATCGGTTGGCAGGCCAAACAATTTCTGGAGGCCTCAGAGATGTGGTTTTACAGAAGAATGCTTAGAATACCTTGGACAGCCAAAAAGAGCAACCAAGAGGTTTCGAAAAAGGCGGGAGCCCGAAGACAACTTATCACAGACATCAGAAGGAGACAGTCATCATTTTTCGACCATGTTTATAGAAGAGGGAAAATAGAACACGTTGTGACCACTGGAAAGATATGTGGAAGGAGAGATAAAGGAAGACAACGAGAGAAGATGCTTGACAGTCTTAATGCATGGCATGGAGGTGTGTCGGCACACGAGGAGATTGCAGATTATGGAGAGGCATTATCGCCCACGGCAGTCGGCAAGGCACCTGATGATGATGATGATGATGTAGAGACAATTTTAACACATGCCTGTGAATGCTGGACAATTAATAATCAAACCAAACAAGTTTTTTGAGGCCTCGGAGATGAAGTTTTACTGAAGAATCCTAAGAATTACTTGTACAACCAAAGCTTGAAGACAGCTTATCACAAACATAAAGAGACAGTCATAATTTGTAGTAATGTTATGAGAAGAAGTAAACTAGAATAAGTTATGATCACCTGAAAGATCTGTGAAAAAAGAAAAAGATAGAGGAAGACAACGCGAGAAGTTTTTCGCAGTTTTGTGTGTGTGTGTGTGTGTGTGTGTCAGTCAGCTGTTGCTGCTGTAGATCGCAGATTGTGGAGAGGCATGATCTCCAACTCCAGTCAACAAGACACTTGTACCCAGCCTTGAGTGGGCACAATGTTACCGTCCTGTGAAGTAAAGGCGGCCGGTGTGATGCTGACAACATCACCCACACAGTGCCGATTGATTTCTAAAAATAGGTTTAGCTCTATATGCCCAATACGTCAGAAGGCTTGAAAAAGGGTACTTTACCTCAGTTTACACTTTGAGCAGACCTCGTAACTGGCCAGGAGAACCATGGATTCGACTGGGGTGAATCAGACTGCATTAAAAATGTTTGTTTGTTTTAGTATCCAGAAGCTATGAGTTGTTAACCCTTAGGCTCGGTATTATGGATATCGCAACCTTTCGGACTTGATTCCATGATAAATACCGTAAATCTGGGAGAAATGTGGCTTTTCTGCCTACTCCCGGGAGTGAACCCGGACCACGAGGAGTTCGTCACCCGGTCACCGCGCAATCCGGTTTAGCCAACTACGCTAGAGAACCGGGTTGCATTTAAAATAAATAAGCCTTATACGCCACTGACGCATCGGGCGTATGATGCTAGGCAGATATTTTGACAGATAAATCTGCACCAGATTGGGGACGTTGTGGTCATCGTTCCTCTGGCCACTTTTACTTCTCAGAGCATTACATGGTAGCCATTTTAGGTTGGATTGACCTGGGAGCCGAAGTCAGTTTCTGAAAAATTCCGTGTGGGTTCCGAGGCCCTTTTAAAGGGAATACAAGAATTGACCCACTGCCTACCCAAAAGCATGTCGTAAGAGTCGACTAAATGGGAGCTTCCTTCGATGTCGGAGTGCATCTGCCTGAGTGGCAAAGAACCAACAGTCTGCACACAAATGAGTCAGATATGTAAAACTGATGCACACGCAACACTCAGGTTCTGAAACAGGCCTGAAGTCCAGGAGTGTACGAACAACATGAACCTTTCACCGGAGTTTATAGCCGGTGAACGCAAAGAAAAAGAAGAAGAATTCTGAAAAGAAGGAAGAAGCTATATCAGCGTTCTATTCTGCACGTCACACCAACAGCTTTAAACTATAACAGCGAATACCTGAATTTCGTGATCAGAATGTTTGGGTACTCGCTGGCCTCTATCTTGTCTCCGTCTTTAAACCAGTCGAGGTCTTCAGGCATGCGGTCACCCTCCGTTGTGTTACACTTCAGGTAGACTGTCTGGCCCGATTCTACAAACTCCTTGCCCTCGATGCTAATTACTGAGGAGGAACACGAGCAAACATATGTTAGTGAGGGTTATACTCACAACATTGTGCAGCTGCTTTAGCGACTTCTAATTTGCTAAAGACGATACATGATATCAATTCTGGGTTAACGAAACTAAATCCATAAAAGAAGGAATGGCGAATAACACAGCAAACTACCATACAGTTGGCAGTAGTAGTAATTAAGTAGAGTTGGTGTAGGACAGGATAACCTCATGATCAAGGAAACTAAATGCAAAATCTAACCAATCGTAAACAAGGTTATACCATTTTGGTAAAAGTAAATAAAGTAAAGGGCCTTCTTTTAAGCCCGCTGTGCGTCGAACATATGATGCTATAACCATGTTAATAGACCAATCGGCACTCTGGTACAATATAACACTATCGTCTGGAAAGACGGAAAGGTGCCAATATATAAGATTCCGACATTTGAATCCTCTTCTGTGATAGAGAATTTGCTTACTCAGCTGGAAATCTCCTTGTGTGCTCTGCTGAAAGAGACACATATATTACCACATGCAGTTATATAGAGAAAATAGGGAGTTAAAAAACACACACATACACAGTTACAATAAAGAACATATATTACTTTATTTCAAAAGATCAGAAACAATTTTTGACAAAAAAGCCCATTTCACAGAAATCACTTTCGCTGTTAGGATAACATGGGGCGCCGCAAGGAATTGCATTAATGTATTTTTGACTGCCGAGACTGTTCGGTGAGACTGACTAAAAGGATTATCTTCCGGGAAACTGTATCCAGCGGGAACTGTATGTGTCAGTTCGCGTCATAAATATATCGGAGCTGTTGGTTTGTCTACTTTAGTGTGGCAGATAACAAATAAGCTTCTTTTATTTCTATACTATAGATCTAGGGAGAGTTGTGAAGCAAAATCTGGAGCTTTTGGCGTAATCTAGTCTGACTATGGAGGTCATGGCTATGACTAAAGCAGTTCCATCTTTAGAGATGCTTTCTCAGTGACTCAATGAGTTTGCTCAGGAAGACTGAGAAGGACTGAGTCCGAAGGCAGTGGTTAGCGGCTCTACAGCGTTCACGGCTGACAAGGATTCGTTTAATTTTCGTGCCAGGATATGTGGGGGTACAAGGAAACGAACAAGCTGATAGACTTGCAGGTAAGGCTACTGTGAAAGCCGGACAAGCCATAGACCAGTCTGATATATTGAACACGCAACGAGATTTATGACGTTTGCGTGAACCAGCTGAGAACTGAATCTGCAACCATGGTCAGACTGCAAAAACAGCAAGTTAAAAGGGGTTTCGCCAAACAAGAATGCAACGCGTATAGCTAAAGAAGAATAACAAATTAAGAGGACTGGTGTCATCAGCCGCTACACGCTGCGGGAGTTACTGGGGAGGGGATCAGATCACTTATGGACTAATTGGTTCGACGTGCAATGAGGATAATCTGTCGACTAACTAACTAACTAACTAACTAACTAACTAACTAACTAACTAACTAACTAACTAACTAACTAACTAACTAACTAACTAACTAACTAACTAACTAACTAACTAACTAACTAACTAACTAACTAACTAACTAACTAACTAACTAACTAACTAACTAACTAACTAACTAACTAACTAACTACTAACTAACTAACTAACTAACTAACTAACTAAAACTAACTAACTAACTAACTAACTAACTAACTAACTAACTAACTAACTAACTAACTAACTAACTAACTAACTAACTACTAACTAACTAACTAACTAACTAACTAACTAACTAACTAACTAACTAACTAACTAACTAACTAACTAACTAACTAACTAACTAACTAACTAACTAACTAACTAACTAACTAACTAACTAACTAACTAACTAACTAACTAAACTAACTAACTAACTAACTAACTAACTAACTAACTAAACTAACTAACTAACTAACTAACTAACTAACTAACTAACTAACTAACTAACTAACTAACTAACTAACTAAACTAACTAACTAACTAACTAACTAACTAACTAACTAACTAACTAACTAACTAACTAACTAACTAACTAACTAACTAACCTAACTAACTAACTAACTAACTAACTAACTAACTAACTAAAACTAACTAACTAACTAAACTAACTAACTAACTAACTAACTAACTAACTAACTAACTAACTAACTAACTAACTAACTAACTAACTAACTAACTAACTAACTAACTAACTAACTAACTAACTAACTAACTAACTAACTAACTAACTAACTAACTAACTAACTAACTAACTAACTAACTAACTAACTAACTAACTAACTAACTAACTAACTAACTAACTAACTAACTAACTAAACTAACTAACTATACTAAAGATCTTTTCATGGTTTTATTACACTTATAGCCACTTGTATCAATGTTTCCTCCACCTGTGAAAGATTCCCTTCCCGCCAGTGGCGCATCGGGCCTATCTGGCTAGACAAATTCTTTTATAGACCAATCAGACCATGATGTGGTTAACATCCCGCCGGTCGCCATTACTTTCCAGGACCCTACCTGGTTTCTATTTAAAGCTGGGTCGACATGGCAACCAATGTCATGCTGAAAACAAAAAAAAATCCGGCACCTTGTGGATTTCAACCCATGACGTTCAGATCCGAAGGCGACAGTCTAGCCGTTACACCACGGCGACTCCCTCTCTACTCGTGACCTGCTTGCATATTACACGCTTAAGAAAAACACTCGGTTAACATGAACACAATTTTGAATCCAGCAGGGATGTATTATTATTAGTCCCTCCTTAGCATGATTCTTTTTAACATAAACTTTTGATTTTTCAGTCTCTCTGAATTTGCATTAGCGAGGTTTATATATACATATATAAGTTAGTTGCGTATCCACTGCAGGACGTCGTAGAACCAACCCCAGCACTTTTTGCTGTTGTTTTTCTAGGCAAATTTACGTCCAGTAGTATGCCATTGCTTTTTGGACGGTCGGCTTCTTGATACCACTGTCAAAACCAATGCAGGGCGGAAGGCCTGCAGCTGGGATCGAACCTAGTACCCTGGCATTACGAAGCGCGTTATCAACGCCTAAGCTACAGACGCCGACGCATATATATATATATATATATATATATATATATATATATATATATATATATATATATATATATATATATATATATATATATATATATGTATACACACACACACACATATTTATATATGCATGCGCAGGCACAAAACTAATATTTATGCAAGCACAAATAATTGACAATTTGTTTCCCAAACTTGCCCCTGGCAGTCAACGCACTGGCCCAATTTTTTTGTCCACCCCCTGTTTGGCCTATTGTTGCCTATAACTAAACTATTGATTTCAAGATGTCTGTTCTCTCTACAATTTATGGATTATGCCAACCCTAATTTCACCGAGGTTAAGGCCAATGCTGTGCCAGGTATATCGTCTGTCATTATGTCCTCGCAGCCTTGGGGCGTGGCTATAAATACTTCTCAATTTCCACCACTGCCATAACAATGCGAACTAGGAACCGTAAAAGGGTTCCAAAGATTTAACGACAATCCTTCGATTTTGCTTTTATCATCATCACAATCATTTATCATCCGAGTCATCATAAGCATCCTCCGTAGTCCTCATCAAGTTTGACTGAAAAGCATGAGCAATCCTTTTCTGTCATCTTACGTGATTACCAGTCTCCGAGTGGGGTGGGGGGTGAGTGTTCTCGAGGTATGGCGTTCGCCTCGAGTGCTGGAGGTCCCGGGTTCAAATCCCGATGAAGGTTGGGGTTTTTTCACGTAGACTTCTAGTAATTTCCCCTGGTCTATGGACAGTAAGACTGGACGCCCATGTGTATTGTTACGCACGTAGAAAAATACCTTGACGGTTGGAGTAGCCTAAAGGCGCTGCCCGGGCAAAAATGTTGAGTTAAAAATCTATCGAAATTATTTTCAGAATCCTCACCGAGGCAAAGTAGTACGCACACTGCACTGAGATACTTCGGACTCAGGTTTGAGTTAGAAGTAGACCGGAACACTTCTGAGTTACACCCGTGTGCTATGATGTTGATTCTTTGAATAGACGAATAAACGAATACACAGACTCCGACACACACATACACACACACGCACACACACACATATATATATATATATATATATATATATATATATATATATATATATATATATATATCATCATGTGGTTTGCCAGCCGGCGTAGGCGTTCTTGCATCTCCACAGATCTCGGTCTTTAGTGTTCTGGATCAATTTCACTCATGATAATTCTCCATGCCACTGTCTTAAGCCATCCACCATCAAACTCTTGGTCTGCCTCTGCCTCTTCTACCAATGATCTTTCCGGTAGTCACGAATTTTCCAGTTGTCTTTTTCTCATCATATTTCCATTGAACTTTGTTCGTCTCCTTCTCATTGTTGTAAATAATATTCTACTTTCATTAGCCATTTCCAGACAATCAATGTTAGTTATTCCGGCAGAGTATATATATATATATATATATATATATATATATATATATATATATATATATATATATATATATATATATATATAAATATATATAATGCAGATTTAATACAAAATAGACAATTTAAAAAAAGAAAAGAAAAAAAAAATCAGGGTAACATTGATGTACAAGAAAAAAAAAACCGCACTTACTTGGATTGTGGGGAGGTTTCTCTGAAATGAAAGACATAAATATGGGAATTAGATTTCGTCATTACAATGATTCACATGACATACGCCTAATCAGAGAGACCATTTCTGCTAGAGTAATTGATGCGTTCCAATAGTTCTGGTCCCACAGATATTGGTTCTGGCGTGTGAGAGGCTTGGTGGATGATGTGATTGGATAGCGAGGTAGTCCCACGGTCTCACCACACTTTTATTCTGTCAGCTACGGGGTTGTCTAGGCGGCCTGGGTAGAATTTCCAATCAGCCATTTATATTTTAGTCAGTTGTCCGAAAAAAAAAATTATATACATTACAAATGTATCTGAAAGTATTTAAATGTGTGTGTATTTATGCGTTGATTTCGACATTGGATCAATAGCCGACAGTCCAGAAAGCCATGGCAAACTACTATTCATAAAATTGTATAGTACAATTCCTCATAGCTAAAACATGCAGGTGTTGGTTGTGCATCGCCCTGTAAATGATACACACCTGAAACAGAGACAAACGATATTTTTGTTTTTGTTCTGAGAATGCAAGAACGCCACGGGTGGCCAAAGAGACACCTATCTAAACATGGTCAGGGGTCAATCCACATATTTTTGGAGACACAGGTAGGATCAGAAAAATCGCCATTTTATTTTACCCATACTAGGAAACGAGAGAAGAGCCGAGACAGCATAATGGCTAATCTCTTGTATGCCTACCCGAAGAGCTCGGGTTCTAATCCTTATGGAGCTGGATATGGTTCGATCGATCCAGCCTAAAATGAACACAACGTAATGTCATCAGAAGTAAAGGCGGCCGGCGTTATGTTCATCTTTCCCGTCCTCCTGTTCCTCATCCTTTTCCTTATTTTAATCTCCTAATGAAGGCCTGAATGACTCCTTTGACGCCATTGTCGAATCTGGAAAATAGTGCGAGACTCTTATTCCTATTGACCAATAAGATTTCGTCCATGCTGAAGCGCCAAACATTTAATACAATTCTGTCTAATCACTGTGCTCCTATTTATAATTTCCGTCTTTATCAGTATGAAATTTTTCGTTTTTTGAAGCCCTACTCCGGCTCTTGCCAGGGGCCGCAATATAGCCTGGCCAAAAATATGGCCTAAAGGCTGAACGCGGTTTCTGGGACCTCTCCACGGTGATCCTCACCCACATGGTGGCACATTGTGTCATCGGGTGTTTATCGCTTGTGTGATGCCCTGGTGGGGTAGAAAGTCAGTCAGTCAGTCAATCACTGTGCTACACAGACCCTCAATCAGCTCCATTCCATTTCTGTATAAACCTGTACATGAATGATTGCATTCCCAAACACACGCACACCTTTTTTTGTAGTGGTTTTTCTGGCTGTATTTTGAAAAAAAAAAAAAAACTGGCATGTTGCAAAAGGTGATTCAGCCGAGATTTTATTTAAATCCGATGTGTTGGGACGCAAGGCGCAGATACCGCAGCCTAGCAGTAAGTAACTCCACAACTTGCCAACCACTCTTTTAAGGGCGAACGCAGAAGCATGAGAAGAGCAGATCCATCCACCTGGACTACACGAGGCTGTGTAACCATTTTGTGGTGGCCAAATACAACTGTGCTTAAAGACTACGGCTAAACTGGGTTTTGGGATTTGTATCCATCATCGTTGGGATGTTAATCCTACACACTGCAGTCCTGGAGAAAAGATAACATTTTATTTCTAAGGTTTTCTCAAAGTTGATCCATATAGTGCCAAGAGGTAAATATACTAGCAAGAAAATAAAACTGTAAACTTGATTAAAAAAAAATCAGAGCAGTTTAGCAAGGTTATATCCATAGATCAAATGGTATCGTCATCGTTATCCATTTCCACCTCTGCTGTTTTGCGTTGTGGGGAGGACCAGTTTGCGAATTCTAAGCTTGGTGGGTAGCAATGGCTACTGTTATTCTGTGTCGCTGTAGAAGCACTTTAATATCATCGATCCATGTTCTCTTAAGTGGACCTCTGGCATTCACTTCCGATCTTTTGATGGGTAGCGCCTGCGTAGGTAGTTCAAAGGACTTAGGACGTCCTGGTCATCCACTGCACCTAGGTCCATTCCCAATCGTCTCGATATTGACCTGTCGTTGGATCAAGATGGACACAGACAAGAGAGTGAGGTCGACGAATTGCGCAACTCTTCCTCACTTAAATCCAAGTCCTTGCGCAAGTCACTTTCATCCAGCTTTGGATATAAAGTGGTCTTCATCACTCGTGATGGGCGAACAGCAACAGTGCAAATGGTATAATGGGGGAAAGGGCGGGGAGAGGGGTGAGGGGGGGGGGGGGGAGGAGGCACAGATCTGATCCAAGACTGGCTATCAAATCAAATAGTAACCTTTGATTGTCCACGCTTATGAATTTGGTATTTGATGGTAATGAACCGGTGCTATAAATAATTTATTTATTGTGTCAGTCATTCAATCGATGTTTGACACAATTAATTTAATTAGGGTTATAAATGACTCACTTTTATTAAGTTAGCAACTGTTAACTTTATTACTGTCTGGAGTGGTTAATTTTGTTTAATATAATTCCTTTTATTATAGCAATAATGTATCTAATACTATTTTCTATCAGGCTTGTGTTCTTAGCCATTTTCTTTACTGCAGTGAAACTTGGTCAACTTATTGGCACCAAGAAACATTGCTAAACAGCTTTCACATGCGATGACATGAAGGAATATTTGGCATTAACTGGCAAGACAATATCACAACTGTTTTCTCAATATTCAGTCTACGAAGGTTCAGGTGACCGTGTCATAACAAGAGTATGGAGGAGGGTAGAGTCCCTAAGAACATCCTCTATAGTGTATTACAGATAAGTTGAAGATGTCGAGGTGGGCCTCTACTATAATATTAAGATGTGTGCAAGCGGGACACGAATAATACAAGTATTGGGTTGGATTCGTGGGAATAAAATGCAGTGGATATGTAACTTGGAGGGGGTACTTTAATTCACATTTTCCCGGGAAAGTTCAATGTTGGGTGTTATGCGTTGGGGTTAGGGTGAGGGTTGGGGGGAGGGGGGGGGGGGTAGGGTTAGTTGGTGTCTCTGAGGTGGTCGCATCTGACAAAGATCATAATCTCTATAGCTAATCTGAAGCACATAAACACCCCCCCCCTCCTTTTCCAGAATATTGGAGTTCCCGGAAATTCTGGGATTTCCTTTGCTTGGGGTAAATTATAAAATAAAATACCGGCGAGGGTTATTAATATGAAAAATATTTAATTTAATCAATACAAGAAAAAAAAAAAAAAAAAGCATCACATTCAATACTTTTAAGAAAGATATAAATCTGTGAACTAAAACATGCTGGCAAAATCTGTAGCAGCAGCTTATGAGTATAACAGGGTTTCATGGGCAGATTAGAACTTCACATTTGGCAAACACACACATGACTGGATCGCCTGGCTACCAGCGGAAAGAGTACACGGATCGATGCCTGTGATAGCCTGCTGAATGGAAACAATGCCATTAAGCACCCAGTTGGCCATGAAATGTAACCAGACTGAATATGTTAGCTCCCGCTGTTTAGTGGAATATTAATGACAGTGCCAACACTTTCAGAAATAACTTGCCCGCAAATGGTATTACTGGTTTTACTGTCATCTACCATGCACACATATTTCCAATTATTCAAATTAGGCTTTCATCACATGTCTTTATACCCATGAAATAAATTTGTTAGTTTCATAAAACTGGGTTAGTACTGTACGTCACTATCTATTTGTCACGAGGCTTCTTATCGTTTATATATGAGGTGCTTTGTCGACTGACGTGGGCGACTACTTTATCCACTTTCGATCTCCAAAAAAGAGATTTAATATGTTTATACATGTCAATCTTGATGTAATGGAAAGTCTCAATCCTCTTCCACTTCTTCCTCTTTTCCATTCTCTTCAAAATATCATGGATGCTGTTGCATGGGGTGGAAAAAAAGGGGAGGGTGGGGGTTAGAAAGGAAAACGGATAAAGGAGAAATAATAGCATATTAGATAACTAATGAGCATTTGCTTAGATACCAGCATACACCTTCACTGTGGAGACGAAACAGTTGTTTACTTCATTTGTGGGGAGCTGTGGTGTATTGGCTAGACGCTTGCCTGCGAACCCGAAGGTAGTGTGATTCAAATCCGAACGGAGCCGAATTCTTTTTTCAAAAATGACCTTGGCTCACAGATCAAAACAACCTTACATGGGTAACAGGTAAGGTCCTGAGAAGTAAAGGCGGCCGTCGTGATGCTGACCACATCACCCTCCGAATGCCGATTGACTTGAAGGCGTGAAAAAGAGTCTTTTCAAAATTCCCAGGTCGATCCATATTAACATGGCTACTATAAACTGTCTACATAAACTGTTGAGTACCTACTAGTGTATATACGTATGAATCTAGCACCATCCACATTTATGCCAATGGCTTGAGAAAGGCCATGCACTACTTTAGCACCGGAGGAGACAACATGTTAAACATACATTGAATGATCTTGCTGTTAAAAAGACAACAGGTTTTTAAATTTTTATTTTGAAGCCCTTGGGGCGGAATATGTGAAGACCAAATTACATATGTGGGGCACAACAAGAAAATCCACTGGTGCTGATCTTAGGTAAGGTCCCCTAAATTTCCTTGTCTATTGCTTAGCTACCTTCTAGATAAAGCCTAGGCTGAGGGGGGTAGGTAAAGGGGACGCATATGTTAGTACATATAAGGGAAATTCCCTCTCGTTACTATATAAAACTGCTGGCTAAGATAGCAAATAGTCAATAATTTATCAAATCTCTCCCTCATGAGCAACATTTGATGTCTGAATTGCCCTCTACTTGAATGCTAATCATTACAAATTGTGTCTGACTGACTGACTGACTTTTACCCCACCAGGACATCACACAAGCGATAAAAACCCGATGACACAGTGTGCCACCATGTGGATGAGGTTCACCGTGGAGAGTCCCAGAACCCGCTTTCTGCCACCAAGCCATATTTATGGCCTGGC